GCAAACAATTTGTTGAAGTTAATTATTATATATTGTATATATGTGATTATATATTTAATAATTAACTAATTAGAGTTGATGCATGCTATGCTGTGATTGGCTAATAATAGATTTTGGTCACATGATCTTAGATGGGCATGCCCATAGGCATGATGGGCATGCCTTAACCCAAGGGCATGCCCATATAGGCATGCCAAATTTTTTACTTATGTTCTGAACTCTAAGTTTGAGATTAGATCATTAATTTTGCCTAGTTGTTTTCTGCTTAGTGGAAGTAAGTATGCTATATATCAGATCTTGGAAATAAAAAAAGCTTTTAACAAAAGAATTTTTCTTTTGAAGAAGAGGTTTCTTAATGCAACATCTTTAATTCTTTCCTTGATGTTTTAAGTTAGGTTCTCTCATAGTTTTTTCTTTAGATTATCTTTAATATCAACCTTGTAGTCCAAGATTTTTAGTATGGTATTGTCATTGGCTATTTTGTACTGCTCTTGGTTCATAAGACTTGTTGTTTTGGTCATACTTGTGATTGGAAGTAGAATTGACTTTTCCTTGTTAATCTTGATATTTGAAACTGCTTCATATTTGTAAAATAAGAGCAAAAGCTTTTCTCAGTCATTTGTTGAACTTATTTCAATTGTAAGATCATCTGTATAGGCTACAGCTTTGAATGCCTAATTGGCTAAATGTATTTCATTAATTTCTTCTTGAATCTTGAGTATAAGTGGGTTAAGGGCTAATATGTATAGCAAGAAAGAAAGTGGGTTTTCTTGTCATACTCTTCTTTCTACTCTTATAGGTTCTGAAATAAGGTTTACATCTGTTAAGTGTGCTGTTTGTAAATTGAAAAGAAGTTTAATGATTCTTGTGAATTTTTTGTCAAAGTTCATTTCTTCTAATATATGTGTAATAAAATTATAATTAATTTTATTAAAAGCTTTTTGCTGATCAAGCAATAGAAGCCAGTTTGATATTGTTTGATTATTTTGATTTCTCAAAACTGTAATAATGTCTAATGCTGTATCTGTAATTGATCTTTCTTTAATAAAAGCTTGTCGTGAATGTTTGATTAAAGTTTCACAGATAAGGTTACTTCTTTTAGCTAAGATTTTCATAAAAATTTTAACATTATAGTTTGTGAGCAAGATTGGTCTTCAGTTGTTAATATCTTTTAAGTCAGTAGCTTTTTTGAGAATTAAAGTAATGAAACTTTTGGACCATGAACTTGGAATTGTATCAGACTCTAAACAGAAGTTGAAGAGCTTGGTTAAGACTGGTACTATTTTATTTATAATTTCTTTGTAGAACTCATAACTAAGGCCATCTAAATCTGAAGCCTTGTTGTTTGAAAGAGAGCTAATAATGTTTCTGACTTCTTCTTCAGAAATAAGTTTTACGAGTGATTGGTTTTGTGATTCAGTTACTTTTTAAAGATTTTAAAAAAAATAGTTCATTAAGTTCTTGTTGACTGCCTTAGCTTTATAGATATTCGGATATGTTTTCTTTATTAATTGTAAAGTAGCAGCTGGGTCTTTAGAGTTGTTGTTATTAGGAGCTTAAATTTTGTCCTTTGCTAAAATTGAGTTTCTTAACTTGTATCAGGAGAAAAAGAACTTGGTTGACTTCTCTCTGTCTTCAATTCATTTGGTATTTGATCTTGTTTGTCATTTTTCTGAAAGCAGCTAAAGCTCATCTTGAAGCTGTTGGTTAACCTTTTCTATCTGTAATAGAGCTACTATTAGATTCTCCTTATTAGCAGCTTTCTTATTTAGCTTTGAAAGTTATTTTTGAAGCCTTTGAATATTCTTTTCTGGAGCAGGATTAGGCCAGAATGCTCTAATTATAGATTGTATTCTGCATTTGCAAAGGTCCCATTTTGAGAAGTCAGTAATGCTTTGGAGTTCTTCAATTACTTCCTTTTTTAGCAGGTCATTATTTTAGCTATTTTTGCAGAATCTCTATTGTTTTGCTTTAGAGTTTTCAAGTGAGAAATGTATTTCACATTTTATTATTAAATGATCATAATTGCCAAATTGTGTTGTTATATTTTTATAGTAGTTACTATAGTTGCTATCTATAAAGATGTAATTAAGCCTTGTAGTTATTCTGTGATCTGCATAGGTGTTTTGGTAATAGGTTAAAAAAGAGTAATCATTTTCCAAGAATGATGCAGTATCTGTAAACTCCATTGTAAGTTCTTTGAGAAGATTTCTTGTAGAGTTATAAGTAGAAGGTACATGACTGATTCAATCTTTTTGTGGATTCAGGTTCATGTTAAAGTCTCTAGCCAAATATTAATGCATCCATCATCCCTTAGAGGAACCCAACCATTAAAGAATTTGAGTCTATCTTCTATATTTGGTGGTGCATAAACATTGTTTAAGAGAAATGGTTAGTTTTTGTATAGAAAAGTTGCTGTGATAACACAGCCATTCTGTGATTCTATAATGTTTTCAAATGTAATATTTCTGTTTTCTGCTAATATTGCTGTCTTGAAGAACCAGTAAAAGCTATATTCCCATTGTTGTGAGAGAAAATTTCTTGTGTTGTTGTTTTCTAAATTTGTTTTTTGTAACATGATTATGTTTAATTAATATAATTTAAGTAAGGTTAATGTTCTTTGTGCTTTGTCCGGATTGTTCAAATCTTTAACATTAAGTGTTGTAATTGTAATTTGTTTAACCATTAATATTAAAAAAAATTGGAGATTGGTAAGTTAGATTAAGGTTTTTTGGTTCTAAGACCTGGATTTTTTTTAGGATCCAAACTCATAACTTTGTTTCTTTCTGAATTTGATACTTTTGCTTTACTCTTATGTTTTTTTTTTGATATCACCAATTGGAATTCATTGTTATTATTGCTGATAAAAGAGGATTCAGCAATCTTGGAGTTGTCATAAAGAGTGGTTAGTGGGTTTACTATCATATTGGTATCTATAGTGTGATTTTTTATTGAAGAGTTGTTTAATTCCTTTAGAGTATCTTTGATTGGTTCTTTTTCAGCTATCTTAGTCTTAATCTGAGGCTGATCTATATTGATATAACTATCCAGATTCATATTTGCTGAAATTTGCTTATTAATATTGTTAACTTCTAAGTTATTATTATTTTTAATATAAGGGTTATCTGCACTAAAGTCTTCTGGCTTGAAGGTTTGGTGCTTAGTAGTTTTGTTTTAAGATCTTTGTAATCTGTGTACTTTTTGCATAGCTCTGAGTTCTATTGAAACTATGTACTCAGTGCATTCTTTTTTGATGTGATCCACTTTGTCACAAAAGTAGCATAGCTTTGGAGCCTCTCTTCAGTTTGTAACTACTTTGTGATCCCAAATGTGTATATATCTGGGAATTCTATTTGCTAGGTCTGGGTCATCTGTAGTTTCAATGATAACTACCTATTGATCTGAAAGCATTGAGGTGCCTTTGTGTACCAGAGGTTTAATAGAGGAGATTGTGCCTATATCTTGAAAAGCTTCTTTGATTTTTTTAGAGATAAAATCTTTTTTACACATTGGTGTATTCCTAATTCTTACTGAGAGAAAGCTTCGTCTAATATTGACAGAAATATAACCCTGAAGAGACTGCTTAAAGATTAAGATTCCTTCTGCTGTTTAATACTGTTGCTAGTTTTTATCAGAAAAGATAACTTCTAAATGAGTTTTTCTACCTTTGGTAACTACTAGTCTTACTGCTATAAGACTATCACTTAATTTTTTTGCCATTGCTTTAACTATGTTTGATGTAAATATGTTTTCTAAATTTTGAGTTTTGAAAATTAAAGCATTTTCATTTTTAGTATAAATTCTTTTTCTAGAAGAAAATGTAGAATAGGTGGCTTTTCCTTTTTCTAGCTTAGAAAAAAGATCAGATCATTGTCTTGGTTTTGATTGGTTGGTTGTGATTTCTGATTAAGATGTAACTAGGTTGCTATTATGTGACATGTGTCTGATTTGTTTTGTTACCTCTGTGTACGTGTTGTCAGCAGGTGTAAACAATGCATCATCATTATTTTTTTCAAGATTAATATTTTCTTTGTTTAGTGCTTCACTAACTTTTGAGTCTGTTACTGTATATGCTTTTTGTGTTGATAAAGCTTTTGATTCTTGGCTGTTTAAGACTTGAGCTTTAGTTTGTTCTAATAAGCTCTTAGAAGGGCCTGAGCTTAAACTAGTTTCTTCTTTATAAGTGTTAGAAGTTCTGATTTTCTTGTAGGATACAGTCATTTCAGATGACTTAGTAAAGAGGAAGTGTAGCATGTTAGTGTATGGATACTTTCTTTTCTTCAGCACAAGAGATTTAGCTCTTATGGTATAGTTTCTAGTAGATTTTAATAAAGGTTTAATTGTTTTTGTTTATTTTTTTTTCTACTACTAAACATGAGTAGAGAGAGAGAGTTTGATTTGTTTGGGCTTTTTTTATGATATTCTTTTAATTGCCTAGTTAGTCTTGATATTTTATATTTTTAATTTTCTGTTTGTTATTTTAATTTTGTAATTTTATATTTATTGTTTTCTATAACTTTTTCAAATTTTGACAAGTGATGCAACACATTATCGATAACTATTTCATCAATATTAAATTCAAAAGCAGAAATGCAATTATTATTAGAACTAACATCAAGCTAAAATCATTTACTAATACTAAAATTATCTAAAAATTAATAGTAAAAATAATTAATTTTTACAACTTAATTATAATAGTTTACACAAATAGAAAATTAAAAAAAATCTTAATTTCTAAGTTTTGATATTAAATCTTGAAATGTTTTAAGCTTTCTAACTACTGCTGAACTGTTAATCTTTTTTTAATATTCTGATTTTAATATTTACAAGATTAAGAAATATACAAAAAAATTTCTAATTTTTAATTTTTGTTTAGTTAATAAAGACTGAAACATTGTTCTTGAATGTTAGTTAGCTGGTATTTTTGAAAAAAAAAGTTGAACAAACAATTCAACTTTTCTTAACATTTTACTAAACTAAATAGCTTTGAAACTTTTAATTAAACTTTTTTTTTACAACTTTCTGTCTTAAAAACAATATAAATTTATTTATATTTAATTTTTCGATACAACAAACTTTCACATTTTAATAAAATTATCTTTATTTTACTCTTTTTAACTTGCTTTAATTTATATTTAATTAAACTTTTTTACTTCCAAGTAAACTAAGTATACTAAACTTTCTGCTTTTAACTATACTAATTTTACCAAATTCTAACTATTATATTATATACAAACTAATGTTTTTTAAAAAAACAATTTTCTCAATTTTAATTAAATTTTATTAGCAAACTTATTTTTTTTATTAAACAAAAATATCTAGCTCATTGAAATGATCATTTTAATATAAATTTTATTCTTAACATATCAAAACTTATTAAGTTATTAATATTTTTTTTCAAACTCTTATTCAAACTTCTTTCTAAAATTCTATTAGTTAATTTCAAAAAATTTACAGGGTTGTCTTCAATATTTCACTTTTTACCAACCTTGAAAATATCCAAATACCCAACATTTTTTTAAATTTTCTTAAAGAAACCTAAAAATTTTACTGGCTCTTTAAAAAATTTATTGCCAATTTCAAAAAACTTAATTTTCTTACTTAATTTTTATTCTTTTTACCTACTCTTTTTTGCTATTTATATTATAAAACACTCTACTCATACTATAAACTATTTATAACTTTAAACATCTTTTTATTATTATTATTACTTATAATTCTAAAATGAACTTATAAATTACAACCCAACAAGATCAATTTTTAGACTAGTTTAAAAGCTATTTTATTTCAAAAAACTCTTCTTTATCTATACTTATGATATCTGAAATTTAAACATTAAATTTTTTAAAACCAATCCTCAAAGATTTTTATTCCAGTTTTATTATTAATTTTATAACAATCAACAAACCTGCTTTATAAAAAGTAATTTTAGCTTATTAATTCAAACTATAATAATCAAAAAATCTAAATTTATTATAGATACAATTTTAAACAAAGACCTATATATTATTAAAATAACCAAATTACCCTTCAAAATTCTTCTTAATATAACAAAAAACTGGTTTACCAATTTACTTATACTCTTTTTTATAAAACAAATTACAAACAACTCTTTAATTTATACTATTTTATTCTTTTTTATTCAATTAAAAAATAATTTTAAATTGCTATAAATCTTGTTAGACTTTATCTATTTCTATATAACAAATACCAAAACATTAATTATTAAAAATTCTTTTATGAGTTACAACTTAAACCTATCTATTTAAAAATCTTTATATATATAAATTATATTCCAAACACATCAAAAAACAATACTTTTATCTTACAAATTCACAATACTTCTAAATTTTATATTAACATTACTATAAATATTATTTTTTAAAAATTTAATATAAAATATTGTATTTGACTCTTTTACTTAATCAAACTACAATTTGATACCTGGTTTCAAAAAATTTTTATACATTACAAAAAACAATTTAATAACATTAATAAACAAAAAGTTTACAATTATATCAAATACCAAATAACAACAGCAACTAATAATGAATACAAGAAGCTAATTCTTCAAAAACCTAAACTACCAACTATCTAATTTATTTAAAACTAAACAAACTATACTACTAAAATAGCAATATACCATACATACACCTGTACTAATCTAAAAAAATATAAAATTTTTAATCCAAAAATAATTTATAATATTTATAATCTAATTTCTTATTATTTTAAACAATTCTTTAGCACTATATCTATTCAACAATATATATATTCACCTTTAAATCTTTTTATATTCACCTTAGCAATATTCTATATACCCTTATCTTTTAAAGAACTTTATAAACTAGTTGATCAATTTGAACAAAATTTTATCTAACTAAACAACACATCTACTAATTCTAAACATATATCTTATTTCTTTTAGTATTATTTTAAAGCTTACTTTAAATCTGCAGCAATAAACAATAAAATTATTAATTTCAATCTTAAAGAAGCATTAAACAAAATCTCTTCTCAAACAAATAATCCACAAATCTTAGCCAGAATTATTGCCTACTATAACATTATTCAAATCTATAAACCAACTATTACTCAACTTAAAAAAAACCTTAACAAGTCATATTTCAATCAAGCAAACCAATATATTATCAAAAAACTTAATATTGTTATATTTACAATATTAGAAACTGACTTTATTTATATCTTTAATATATCTAAAATTATTAATAAGCTTGATAATAGTCTTTTCTTTTAGCAATATTTATATATTTTAGTTAACTTTTTCTTATCTATTTATTTATTTAATTTATACTACTTGCCTTAGTTATATTCTTATAATTTTGTTAACTTTTTTTATCTATTTGCTTATCTAATTAATACTCCTTTTTATTGTTTTAATTATATTTTATTTCTTATTTAATTTATTATATCATTAGTTTCTTTTCTTTATAATAATATAATTAACTTCTGATAATATAAATAGTTAGTAAAATCTATGAGTAGCTTACTAGTATATACTAGAATAATAAATATTATTTAAAAAATTTTAACTAATTTAGGTAAGCCTTAACTACTCTAGTAGATTTAAGCTACAAATAAATATGTCTGAGCTCTTATTTTTACATATAATATTTATAATACTTAGAGTTATAGTTTTATAGTTAGCAGTTTAACAGTTTGGCCTGACTGCAAGTATTGGTCTTAGCTATAGCATATATAGAACTTCTTTTTGTATCCAGTAACTCCATATAGTTACTATCTAATAACTATGAATAAAAATAGAAGCAAGGTTTTACCTTAATATCAAAAAAAAAGTTAATATATTAGCTTTAGTAATATATAGTATAACAGGTAAATAACAAGTCTGTTGCTTTTACTAACTAGATATTATATAATAATATGAAATCAGCAGAACAAGGCTTCAAGATGTGAATAAAGATTTGATAAGTATTACTTTATTTTTATTGTATTTTGACTTTTGTATTTGTTACGTACTAACTATTACAATCACTATACTATAAACTTGTTAACTATAGAGACTTTAATCTTCTTTCTACTAACTGAAAGCATCAAAAAATAAGTATTACTTTATTAAAATTATACTTTTATTTTATACATTTTTATTATTACTAATAAATTCTATTTATTTTTCAGATCCTATTTCTATTTTTCTATCATTTTGCCACTACACAATTGTACTATCATGGGTTTTACTAGACCAGATAAGTATTGTTTTCTTAATTGTTTTATTTTTATTACAACTATACTAATCTGTCTTCTTAATATTTAGATCTTACCACTCTGAAACATTGCATCCATAATCAAATACCTTTCTGTTTTGGTCATATTTATTATGCTGAAATTGTTTGAGTATTGGGGTCATAATTATGCACATTTCACTATTTGTAGAGTCAATTGCGCATATTTGATTCTGAATTTCAATTAGTACTTGTGCATCATATTATAATGTATAAGCTATTACAAATTTTTCATCAGTGACAATAGGTACATATTTTTACAAAATTTCATATTTTATTTACTTTTTTAAAAATATAAAATCTTAAATAGATTTTTATAAATTGTTAATCTAAAGACTCTTTTATATATATTATTTTAGTATTAATAAATATCAACTTCTAGAGTTAATAGCATAACAGTTATGCTCTGAAGTTATGAATTGCAAAGTTACTAGTTCAAATTCTAGTAATGACAATTGTAAAGATGTATTTTCAAAAATAGAGAACTGCAATATCATAGAATTAAAGATCCAGAATGTCCAAAAGACAGATTTATTTCTAGAAATGACAAGTAACTTGCAGTTGAGAAGCCATATAGTGATAAATATGAATTAGAACCTGATTTGAAATAACTAAAGTTATGAAACATAATGTAAAACCAAAAGTCTAACAATGAGAGATACTATATAAACTTATGATAACAGCTAGTTCTAGACTGAACTTAGTAAAACCTTTTGATTTTGGCAGAAATTAGTACAATGAATTGCTTTTAGAAAGTTTAAAAGTATAAACTAAGAGAGGTCAAGGTTTAGTATCTGACAACATTTAAGATTATTAGTTTGAGAATATAGGAGTAATAACAATCTTGACAAGATCATCAAAAGGAAAAAAAAATAAATAAAAAAATAAAAAAATAAATAAATATCACAAAAAAAATACTGATTCTAGTATAGTAGTTGGATTGTTATCTTCTAAGTAAGA